TACAAAATGCTTATAATTGACACGCATGTTGTCTTTAATATTTCGTAATTAGAAGTAAACATGAGCTAAAAAGTAGTGTTATCGCTGCAATTTTACCTGCGAAGACCTGTTTGAACTGAGGTTGGAACCGTTCGTCTGGAGAGTTCACTCAATGATAAAAATATAGGACTACAAATTGCACTAATAAGTTGTTGATAAGGTTCACACATTGATATGAATCGATACTTCACAACCAATTTGCAAATCGTAATTCTTTGTGTTATTGGTATAGCTGATTAGAACTTTTTGATTAATGCAAAACAATTGTGTTTTTATCACAAAGTGCAAAGAAAGTTCTTTTGTGTTATGCCTCGGTGGCTTTCAGTACAAAATAATTAACCCTAAAGTTATTGGTAAACACATTGTTTAAGTTTTACTTTGTTGGGGAAACATGTTTTCTTTTGCTGTAAAACAGGTCTACGTGGCCTAAAGRTGCTTCGTTTTATAWCTTTACGTGTTGTAGTTTTGGTACTAGTAGTTTTGTTTTGGTGGCTCGATCGGAAGTAACGTTCATTGAAGCCACGGTGTATACCAGAAGCATTTGTTAAAGGTAAATGGTCTCTCCGCATAAACAGAGAGGATATAACAATTTGCACAAACATACCTCAAACCATATCAGTTAATGAGAGCTGTTATAGTACAAAAAGACGCCAAACTTGGTATCTTAGTTCACGCATTGMCACAGGTCATGTCGTTGTTCCTGGAACAAGGATTCGTTTGTCTTTTTCCATCTGTTGACGTCTGGTTCAGTTATCCTAAGAACGTCACACCAATCTTCTTGCTGAGTATGGATCTGTTTGGTGTAGGCTAAGAGTTACCGAGCAAAAAGCACAATACTTTAAAGTGGTTTGATTCAATCATTACGTAAATCTTATGGGTTTCAATTATAAAGGAGGTCAGCGTTTTTCTTTCAAAAGTTAAGGATTTAATTACCCATTGGAATTAGCTGATGAATCATGTCCGTAGCTTTTGATCTGTGACAACATCTCTCGTTACCATAACWACGAACATTGCTAAAGAAAATATAAGCGAAAAAAGCACTAAAAATTGAAAATAAAAGCGATACAAACCTTTCAGCATCTAGTAGTAAAGTCTGTTTTTAATAAAATGTGAAGAGGACAAAATCAATAGTAGATATGAAATAATCAAATAATTATCAATAAACAAAACGAAAAAGGGACTGGGTACGAACTTCCAAATCTAATTAAATAATGGTTCCAGAAAAAATAACCCGATCATGTGAAAGAGCATCTTATAAAAGGCTTA